TAAAACATTCATGTAGTCTGAAATTGCTATTTGACTTTATGATAATGACTACTGACTAGTACAGGAAATGAGAATTTTGGAGGGATTGATCGAGACGGAGAAATGAATATAACAATGATTTGTTAGGCAGAAATCGAATGGTTGATCTTGTGCTCGGTTTCTACGTATATAGATACTAGATAGACCCTTTTAGAGGTTTATAAACAAGGAATATAGGTGTCATCCAACTTTAGTTGATGCATACAAATACTATGTGAACTAATATTCTTTGAATACTGTGTTTACTTTAACAGTATTAAATTGTAAATCTTATTTTCATGAGAATTAGGAATTTTTGTAAGTGAAAAAGAAGAGGATCTAATTTCCTCTAGGTAGCAATCCTGTGTTTAGAAAGTGGGAATAGTAGAAATAAAAAGAAGCCGATACCCAAATACCCAATCATCATCAATTTGGCTGTTTCCTTGTGTTTATGTCATAAACTTACAGAAATTCTTAAATGTTTCCCAATGATAGGATTTAGGAAAACCAAACCATCGGTAAAACAAAAAGACAAAAAGAAATATGAGTAAAAACAAATAAAACTAGGCATTCGTCACTGCTAACTACTAAAAAATCAAACCAAATCAAGCAATAAAAAGAAGAAAGAAACAAAGAAAGAGGAGTCACCAATTGTAGGAGACAATTCTTCAACATGAGAAGAAATAAAACTGACAAGCAAACTACTCTTCCCGACGCCAGAATCGCCTATGAGAAGAATCTTAAAGGAATAATCGTAGCCATTCGCCATCACTCCCGTCCCGATCCGACGTTCTCGTACAGATCAACGACAGGAACAAAACGTAGGGAATACACGTACAAATCTAAAATCTAAATCTTGGCGAGCGCCTGAGACCTGAGCGGTAGCGGGGATGATATATATAAAGAAGATGAAATGGCATCCAAATGCTCTGCTTCTTTTCTCTCTTTTTCTACCTTTTTTCAGATCAATGATGCTTTTCTGTGTTATTTTGTATCTTTCTGTGATATTTACTTTCCTTCAAAGACAAAATTGCCCCCCATTAGCTATTCTATTTACGATTTTTTTTTATAACATCAGACAAGCTCACGTCGCAAGCAAGACACAAGAGTTGGTTTCTTCTACTCTCTCCTCACCTGGTTCGTTGCTTGCAGCCTGATGAGTGACGTACGTCAAGGGAACCATGTCATGTCCAGATAGATTCCTTGATGATGGGGGCGATTGAAGGATCGGAATTTCAGTTTCTGAAAGGGTTGTAAAACTCCTCTAATGGTTGAGCACAGACAATGTGAATGAATGCGCCAAGAGTCGGAGGTAGTTTCGCGGTGTGGGGAGGATTTTTCTCTGTTTTTGATTGCACGATGGTGTACGCTAGACAGAAGGAAAATCCCTAGAATTTGAGTATTGCTGGGGGATTTTTGCAAGTGAGTAATGGTTTGGGGCGGCTTCGAAATGAGCCGTTTTTGGAAGGGTTTTATTGGCGTTGATTGAAGGGGCTGGGAGCCTGGGATTATGCTTAACAAGGTGATCAGTTCGTCCCAGATGATTTCGCCGATGAGATGTCGCAACCCTCTAATCTGCCTTCCGAGAATGTCTCAAGTTCACGATGGTCAAAAAATGTCTCTGACTATCAGCCAGGTCGTTTGAAATCCCAGGTTTTTTTTTTATATATAAAATATGTTTTTAAATAGCAAAAGGTTAATTACATTTTAATTATAAATGAAGTTGTTATTTTTACCTTACCAATTACCATGGTTTTAACTTTTAATGGTTTAGATATCAATAGATACTAAATTTTTATTTAAATTTTTAATATTTAGTCTTTTAATTGGCTTCTTATTTTTTAAAAATAACAAACCCATTCCTGAATCTTAGGCGGCTATTACACAACCTTAATCTCAAACACAGCTGTAATTTTTTGATTTTATATAACTAATTAAATATCTAAAGACTTAGACAATATAATATTTTAAACTTAATTTTTATTTTATGTTTTATTATTTTATATTTTTACTAATTTTTTTAGTATAATTTTTTAGTTAAAATTCCTTATTTGAACTCGTTCCAGACCCAGATTTTTTTATAGGTTTGGGCTGAGTTTGAGTCCAAATATTTTCTTTCTAGACCCAAATCCGGCCCATATCAACTTCATGGATCCGGATCCAAGTCAGTCAACTCAGATCTGGTCCATTTACACTTTTAACTTGATCCTTTCCTTTTTAAACAGTGAATAACAAAAAAAATTAACAATACATTAATAAGTTACACATTGACATAATCAAAAACCAAAATTATCCTTTTTTTTTTAAGCAATTAAATTTCATTAAAAAATAAGACTAATGCCAAGTTTACAAAAAATAGAGTATAGAAATAAAAACAGAAGTAAAAAAAATGAGCAAAAAGCTCATTGACTTTATCCCATTAGCTACGTAGTATAGTTATATAGTAACTAGATACACTGCCTCAAGAGGTTGGTCTCCCATACTTCCATCATAGATGTCTCCAAAGGGTGACAACAACTCTTCTTGTAATACACTAAATTAAAGGAGAGGCTGACGTCTTTAATAACCTCTTTAAGGACTACCTCAGGAGGCCTACTAATGTGTTGTCTATATCTTTTATTTCTCTCCGTCCATATATGCCACGACAAGCACCCAATAGCATTCCATAGTAGCCCCCAAGGGGGAGAGTGGTGCGTAATCTTTTGTGTTGCCTCCGTCAAATCCCCCAATCTAATATCTGGACTGGATTGGGTGGAAACTGGGATATTCATTATTTTTCAAAAGGCAAGATCCCGATGTTCCGTCGACGGAATTAAGAGAGATCTGGAATAAGAACAGTTAAAGAAAAGATGACTCATAGTTTCATCTTTCAGATTGCATAACAAGCAAACAGGAGGTACTTGTACTCTCCAACTTCTCAGCTTCTTGAACGTGTTTAGGTGATCCCATTTCACCCTCCACAAGAGAATAGAGAATTTTGTCGGCATCTTCGACCAAATTCCCTCAGCTAATATATCTTTATGCTTTTTCCATCATACCCCCAACTTACTTATCAAACTACCATATCTCCACACAATCATACTATTGGTCCTACAATCCAAACATTTATCCACTAGGTTTCTTTCTGAGACAAAAACTTTCCAAAAATGCGAATCCATAGTAGGCCTAATTTGTATATCATTAAGCATCTTTCCTTTAATATACCTATCTTGAATCCATTTTACCATAATAGAGTCACTCATATCCCAGTACTTTGAAGCTTTTTTAATATTGGTTGCAGTGATGATAATAGGAAGGTCTCTAACCCCTAGAGCCCCTTCCGCCTTGGGAAGGACCGCCATTTGGGCCCACGGGATCCCTTTCCTTCCGTCCCATATAAATCTATAGGCTAACCTTCTCACCTTTTTAGCCACAGAATCAGGGATAGCCATACTTTGCGCCCAATAAGTGTACTTTTCAGCTATTATCTAGTTAACTAGTTGTATTTTCCCTTCATAGGAAAGACATTTCTCACTCCATGTTGCTAAAGACGCCTCTATAAACTGGATTAGAACCAAAATTATCCTCATTTTTCAAGATCGATGCCATCTATAACTTATTAAAACAATTTTTTTTGAAAGCATTAAAAGTTTAAAACAAACCTTATCAATTATTAAAATTGTAAATATCTTAATTTTTAACTTATTATAATTTATAAAATATCTGCAATTTTCTAAAAAATTATATGACAAAAAATTATATAACTCAAGATCTAAATAAATATAAAATATTATAGGGTTTATTTTTCAAATTTTACTTAGGGACAGGGGTGAGAATTTTAATCTCTGTCCCCAAAAATGAAAGGGGATTTCCCTTCTTCAGGTCCCAAAGTCCCACCGTACCCAGACGACCGGTCAAGGGTGGTATGACCGTATGAGATTGGATAAATTTTATCAGAAATGTAACCGAAACATTAATTTAATCTTTTGTCGTTAGTTTTGTGTAATAACAAACTTTGGTATCCGAATCTGTATCGGGAATCCAAATCTGTATCGGGAATCCGAAAATTCAAATAGATATATTCGAATTCAAAAACGTATACAATTTACAAATCTAACTATATCTAAATAAGTTAATTTTCTATAATTATGTCTAAATATCTGTAATTCTGTAGAGGTCTAGTCATCTAGAAGATAATGAAATTTCTTTTCTCCCTCACTTTGTTTGTGATCTCTTTTTATAGTTGATTTATAAACTCACAAAAATAAGCTTTTATTTGTATTCTAGTTGAGTAGTTGTTAACTTGATAGTTATTTGAAAATCCAAGAAACAGGTGGTGGTCTCAAAATCATCAGTTGAGTATATATAAAGCTCTTTTTCAAACCATAAGTGAGATAGCATGGATTCAGATGCAGATATGCTGTTGAATGAACTTAAAATGATCCTATCTAAACCAACTGTCATATACTATGATAACAAGGCATTTATATATTCATACAGCTGTTTTTCCAGGTAAGAGCAAAACATATAGAGTTGGATTATAACTCTAATAAGAGAAAAATAGTGGGGGGAAATATGTGCCAAAAATAAATACTTACCAAGTTCCAACTGTTTGATGCACTGATCCAAAGGGGTTGGTGTACTGATATGTTTAAAGTTTGCACCAAATTGGTAATTTACTGGTATATTATTAAGATGAAAGAGCTGAGGCTCAAAATAAGAAAAAAGGAGAAAAAGGATAAAGAAAAGTGAAGAATGATCAAAGATTCCGATCTTGAAGAGGAAGAGAAGATCACAGATGCAACATGAAGAAGTCTGTTCTCACATTCAGTAAAAAACAAATAGAATTGAATGTTTATACAGTAAAAAACAAATAGAATTGAATGTTATAAAATTGTTTAGGGTGTCAAGTAAAGCTCGGCCCGATGGGTTCGGTTCGTTAAACTCGATGGGCACGGTAAGAAGTATATAAATATAAAAAATATATTATATTTAGAGAGAATAGGGATGTAGCACAGATGGTAAAACGTTTGCTTAGCATGCGAGAGGTCTTGGGATCGATCTCCTATGTCTTCAAATTATTTCTTTCAACCTGCAGGTTAAGTTCGGGCACGGGCTCGCGTGCTTCGAGCTCGAGTCTGACAATTCTTAAAACGAGCCGAGCCCGAGCTCGGCCAAACCAGGCTCGGCGAGCTCGAGCTTGGAAAAATCCCTAACGAGTCGAGCCCGAGCCTGGCTTTATAAGCAAAAGCTCGGCTCGGTTCGACTCGTTTGACACCCTATAATTACTTAAATGTCTTTCATTCTCACATAAACTAATCTACTTGTTTATAAATGCACAGACTTATTTTATCAGACATTCCTGTTATGAGTGTTATCTATTGATCTTTATGATTGGTGATTAGTGTATAACATTCTTTCAGTCAGTCTTTAAGTAGTTCAGCTATCCATCACTTTCATTTCTGAACATATTGATTACTTGAGTTGATGAGGGGGTGTGGAAAAACCCCATGGGGGAGATCTTTAGCTCCTCTTTTAAATTGATGGGTGTTTTCCGTCTTTCTCTGGGGAAAAACCCTCTCATCAATCAACATCTCAACTAATTCAATTGTTGCTTGATACTTGAATTTCCCCTCAAATCAATCTTCCAGAGAATATGATTTGCTTTTAAGTGCCTGCAAAGAATAGACAGTTATTACTGTATTATACCAGCAAAACCCATAACATTCAATGGAGCTACTTGGCTTTCAATTATGCTAAATGGCTGACTTATGCTGATCTTCCAAAAACGGGCTAGACAATTCTTAATTTATCCTTGTTCTTCCAGAACTTGTTTCAAATATATGTATCACTAGACAGATATATAATTCTCCTGTTTCCATTTCCAAAACTAGATAGGACCTACTGCCAACTATAGATTTAGCAGAGTTTACTCATTTAATTTTCCATATATCATAAATTATATCTAAATACCAACATGCAATCCAGTGGAATAATATGAAATAACCTAGCTAATAACTGAAGCAGATATGGCAATATCTGTTTTAACATAGCTCGATTTTCCTGAAACGATAACAAAAAAAAAAAAAAAAAAAAAAAAAACAGAAAACACAAGAAGAAGAAAAAGAAGAAAAACCCAATCCTCAATTATGTAGAACTGATGCGATTTTAGGTTTTTGGATCTTGGATCTTTTACAATTAAAATAAATATTGGGTTAATAAACCTTGGTGTCCTGGACTCCCCCTTAATAAATTAAATCTTTCTCCCGTCGGATTCCTTTCTTGATTTTGAAATTGTTAGTTGGCAGTTAATAAAAATTAAGGTTCATTACAGCAGTTAATAAAATAAAACAGACAAGACTATTATTAAATGTGACTAAAACAGATAGATGCATATATATATATATATGAATGAGTATGAAAAAAAAAATATAGAATAATCCGTTGATTAATGCATGCAGGTTGCAGATGTAGTAAAGTCTTGATTCTTGAATGAGTTGAATGAATGAATCTATCTTGCAATATCAATGCATAAATAAGATGAAAGAAAAAAATGTGCAGATGATGTGCATTAATGCAGTTGTTATACCGTTTACGTATTTCGAGAACGATGACATGCATTGATTCCCAAAGTCAACCTGATATCAACTTCATTTAAGAAGGTGTTGGATCGTCAAGCTGACATGTTGTTGTCTTTAATTTCGTAACGTGAAGGAGGCGTGGAGCCACAGTGCCTCTTACAGACTTATAAATTAACTGATAGATTGACTTTCTATTGTCGTCCATGTGAATTTGGAATTTGAAGTGTCTGTAACAGGCAGGATCCATTGACATCGAATCTTATAAAACCCTAATATGTAGAACATAGCTGTCAATTCGTCTATATCCAACCTGAAAAATTGGATTAATCAAATATTCAAATCCATGCACGATCACCCATGCTCAATTACCCATGCATATCAATCCATCCATCTTAGCTATAATCTTATTAATCTAAACATCGATCTAAGCATCTAAATGCCTGGCGCTAATCCTATATATACACACTCTCTTTTCTCTTATAACAATAAATTCATTTCTCTCCGATCGCCCATTAACTATGGGGGATAATGGGATACTGCCGATTACCCTAATCATCATGCTCTTCTTCTGCTTCACTTCGGCCGATCGAATCCTCACCACTAAAGCCGGACAAAAGGAAAGCAATACCACCACCACAAATACTACTACTACTACTACTTCCGGTGGAGGGACTGCTTGGAGTAGTAGCTACGGGTATGGTAAAGGTGGTTCCTATGGTGGAGGTCACGTCAGCGATGGTAGTCACACCAAAAGTTATTCATGGAAAAAAGGTTCAGGCAAAGGAGGAGGGAGTGCCCATATAGAACATGGAAGTGCTCCAAGTGATAAAGGAAGCGGAGCTGGTGGTGGTAGAGGAGGAGGAAAAGGCAAAGGATCTGCCAATGGCCATGGAAGTGGTAAAGGAGTAAAGGATTCGGGCCACGGTCACGGTCACGGTAAAGGAGGAGGATCTGTCAAGGTTTCTGGTGGAGGCGGTCACGGTCATGCTGCTGCTCATGCATCGGGCAAGGGCTCAGTTGGTGGGCATGGAAGTGGAAAAAGAGGCGTAGTGAAAGGTTCTGGTGACGCATACGGTCATGCATCGGGCAAGGGCTCAGCTGGTGGGCATGGAAGTGAAAACAGAGGCGCAGTGAAAGGTTCTGGTGACACACACGGTCATGCATCGGGCAAGGGCTCATCTGGTGGACATGGAAGTGGAAATAGAGGCGTAGTGAAAGGTTCTGGCGATGGGCACGGTCATTCATCGGGCAAGGGTTCAGCTGGTAGTGGTCATAATGGGCATGGAAGTGGAAAAGGAAGTGTTCATGGATCTGGAAAAGGATATGGATATGGAGCCGGATTTGGAAGAGGATCTGGTGGTTGGTCAGGTGGTGGAGGAGGTGGTGGAAGTGATAGCTCTGGTCATTCTTGGAGCAGTAGTTCCGGTCACGGAAATGGTGGTTCCTACGGTGGCGGTTCGGTTAGCGATGGAAGGCACGGCAAGAGTTACCACTGGCGCAAGGGTTCTGGTAGCGGCGGTGGTAGTGCCCACATGGATGGAAGTCACAAACATGGACATGGAACGAAAAAAGAACATCACAAACAAAACAACCATCACCATGGACACGAACATGTAAAAGGAAGCGGAGGCGGACGCGGAGGCGGAGGCGGAAGCGGTTATAGACATCAAAGACATGGCGGGGGGAGTATTGGTGGGTCAGGACAAGGATATGGTAACGGCGGATGGGGTTCAGGTGACGGACATGGTAGCAAAAGGGGGGATGGATATTGGTGGGACGGACCAGCGGGAGGAGGATATGTTGATGGTAATGGGGGTTACTTTTACGGGCCTGGCGGTGGCATGAATTTTCACGGTGGATATGGCTACGGAAGCGGTTGGGATGATAGATCGTACCATCATCGTCATCGTTTTGTTAACCCCTATGATCCTGGGTTTAATTGGTATGGCGGCGGCGGCGGTGGTGGAGGTGGAGGTGGAGGATACCGAGGTAATTAACTAACTGTACGATAAAAGAGATCGAAGTAGCGTACGTAAGTACTGTACGTACGGTGAATATGCATGTGTTGTTTGGAAATTGGAAGCAGTAAGTTTGATTTAGATCTGCTCTTCAATCTCTCAATTCTTGATTTCGTAGATTATGATAATAAATGGAGGGAGATTAGCAGAAATGCAAATTAGGGTTACGTTTGCGTTTAAGCATTATATGTCTCTTATATTATATACGAATAATATATTAATTTGCTTTTTTTATTTTTTTATTTTTTTGTTAATTTCTTCATTTTTCAACATTTTTTTTTGGGTGTATTACTGTTTTAATCTACACCTCATCAATTAACATACCCGTTACACTATACCAGGTTACCCATATATTACATTACACCCTGGAGAGAAGAAGACGACGAATCGGCATTGAGTAGGTTTGACAATTCGTGTTGACACGACACGAATACTACTGACACGATTAATTTTTCCGTCGACACGAACACGACCCGTGTCAAAAAAATTTAACACGAACACGGTTCAATCCATGTCGACGTCTGACACGAAATTCGTGCCGACACTACACGAACACGACTGACACGAAATTCGTATCAATACGACACGACTAGTGTCAAACGAGCCTAGACCGAGCTTTTGCTTATAAAGTCGGGCTCGGCTCGTTAAGGTATGATCTGGACTTGGGCTCGGGCTCGAGCCGGCGAGCCTGTGCTAAAATTTAACCTGGGTTAAAATAATTAATTTAAAAATATGGGAGATCAAATAAATAACCTCTCGCATGAAATGTTTTAATATCATTTGATATTTGATATTACTATATTTGATATTTTTATAATATTATATTTAATTAATAATCGTTTTAGTTATCGTGTTATCAATTTACGTTTCGTTTAATCATGTCGTTCGTGTTTTGAAAGACAAACACTAAACCGACTATTATTAATCGTGTCAAAACTTTCGACACTAACCCGACACTATTATAAACGTGTCTTATTCATGTCATGTTTTTCTACGAATCGTATCTGTTATTGCCACCTTTAGCGTTGAACAATGAATCCTTCCCCAAATTAAAACCAACCTGAGCATGAGCTTGAGCTTGAGGAAGGGTCGAGGCCATGCTCGTCGTCTTTATTGAAGTCTTACAGTTATGATAAAATTACCTTATCTATTCCTTATTATTTCTTAATGATATCTCTTAAGTTCACTCAGATTCGGTCCACAAATCTCAAGGCCCATAGGACTACTTAGACCAGTAGTATAAATAAGCATTTGTAATATTTTATTATTTAACTTTTCATTTATCAAATACAAAAAACTTGGGTTTCTCCTCCCCAAACTCTAATCACTCCAACTTTTCGTTTTCCTCCAAAATCCTTTTTTTTAATAAATTGCTTAATATATTAAAAGAAAAAAATTAAGATTTACAGAAGTGTATAGTTATAGTTACTTTCTATCTAAGGAGACGGGTTTGCCCGACAGTTAATCAATCTTAACT